GCTGTATTGAAGCACAATAAAAAAATTGTCCCAATCAAATTCTGTACAGTCACACGGTTGCCTCTTTTTATACAATTTTGATTGCCGCAAGTTGGTGAAAATCAATATAGTGACAATAATTGCCCCAAATTTATCACACGATTGTTCTAGCATGCGGCAATCGTGACAATAAGATGTTGCGCTGACTTCTAAATTCTGTTTTGTTCTTTGTTGTGTAAAACTGGCGTATTCTTAAAAAAAAGAAAATTTCATTTAATTTATATATTGCGGGCTCATTTTATGCATATTTGTTGTTTGAAAGCAAAGAAGCAACAACTTGAGCCCAATGAAAACTGACGCATTTATTTAGAAGTTTGAGTGTACAGTTTTTTTTATTTTTCGACGATAACTGCAACGTGCTAAATATGTGGAGCTCAAGTTACAAGAGTTTTCTTTTTAATTTTGGTTTTCTTTTTAATTTTGCTTTTTTATTAATTACAAGTAAAATCAAATAAACAAAAATTTCAAATTTATACAACAATTATAAACATTTCTTAAACTTACGATTACAATTCAATGGTTTTTAATTGGGATTTCTAGAAAAAATTTGTTATGCAAAAAAATTATAAAAAATCGCGTGCTAAAAAAATTATAAAAAATCGACAGGATTTTTTAGCAACTTCAAACTTGCACCTTATTGTACTAAATTTTAATGAGCTATAAAACTGAATAACAATTTTTTTTTCTAGAAATCGAAATTAAAAACCGTGCAATTGTGTTCAAAAATTTAAGAAATTTTTATAATTTTTGTATAAAGCTTGCAATTTATGCGGTTTTTGTTAGACAATGAGCTATACTTTTATAGAAAAATAATGAACACTAAACAAATAGAAGAAAAATAGTCAAAACTGGTCAAAATGTTGAGGTTCTACCGTTTCGTCTGGGCTGTATGGAACTTTTAAGTTTTTTTCTTTTTAATAAATTTATACTGTCATGGCAGTTTGCCAATTGGTGACATAAAATATCTTTCGTATTCTTCTCGTATGAGTTTTGCTNATGCTTCATATGTTATGTTATTTATTCTTATGTTATGGTTATGTTATGTTATACCAAGTACTAAGCTAAACTCCCCTCCACTTAACCCATTCCAACTAATGTTATTTTAGCTCATTCAACTTACATAAACTATCCTTAATTTTATCGGTTGAATTTCAACCGCTGGGTGAACACTAGTTATAAATAAACAGCCTAAATATTGTTGTGTATAGTTCACTTCAATTGCCGCACAAGAACACAATAAATATTGCCGCAATTTTGAAATTTTCATTGCCCCATGATTGCCAATCGAGCTATCACACGATTGCCGCAAGTGGGTTGTATTTGATTGGGCATTGTAAGCACAATATCGGCCTCTATTGCCGCATGAGTCCATTTATTGTGAAATCACACGATTGGGGCATAAAATGAGGCAATAATTGGTGTATTGCGGCAATCGTGGGATTTCAGCTTAATACTTTCGAAGATTATTGCAATTTTAGTACAAAAATTTATGAATTAGTAATTTGTTTATTAATTTTTATTTTTTGAGGATATTGAACTTTGATGGGCTTGGGCGAGCCTAGGATATTGACCAAAAAATTCCAAATTTTGCACAGATTTTTTTTTAAAGCATAATGAACCATATTTTTGCTATTACCAATCAAAATTCTAAAAAAGCGGATTTTCGGCCCACGCTTATGTAACTACATACAAACATAATGTGAGTACAAATTTGTTTCGCCATCCATGATAAAAACCTAATAAGGTACAATGGTTCTCTCAATTCGCTGGCCAAGATTTTTTTAAAGTTTGCCTTATTTTAATTTCATATAAAATTTTTGTTGTTTGAGATTGAAAATGAGAATATGTGTGTGGGTTTTAAATTTAAAAGTCATATTGTTTGCAAACGTCAAAAATGCTAAAAGTTGCTCTCAGCGGTTCTACCTTACAATATATATTTTTATCATGATGCCATCAACAAGTATATATTAACTCTTTTTAATATGCCTCATGCAAATTTATGGGAGACTGGGTTTATCGTGAAGATAATGTTAATAACGTTAGCGCTCTTGAGTTTTTAAGAGCATATTTTGATGGCTATACGTCGGCAAAAGTAAAAATGTGGCTGTGTTGGTGAGCGCAAGAGAACTGTTCCGCATGAGCAGCCCAGTAGGAAATATAAAATATTTTATATATGAATTTTTCCCTACTTGACCTTCNTAAATTTATGGGAGACTGGGTTTATCGTGAAGATAATGTTAATGACGTTAGCGCTCTTGAGTTTTTAAGAGCATATTTTGATGGCTATACGTCGGCAAAAGTAAAACTGTGGCTGTGTTGGTGAGCGCAAGAGAACTGTTCCGCATGAGCAGCCCGNGGTTAAATTAATTTGCGTTTGGTTTAAATAAATGTGCGAATGCTATATACAAGGTGGTAGCGGCAGCCCAAAAACAAAAACTACACAAACAAATTATATGCACATAGAAAATCAGTAAAAAACAGTATAAATTCGCCTTGAAATAAGCTGATCCGGTAACACCACCTTATAAAAATTCACCTTGGNCATAGGGATATAGTGTTTGGTATAATATGCATACACTGTTTTTTTGTAAAAGTGTGTAATAAATTGGCGCTTACACATATGTTAGTGTTTGACCGAGTTTCTCCTCCTTACGAAACTTTCCCTATCTTTATGGAAAAATTAAAAACAACAAGTGAGCATAAACAATTGTTCTATGGCGTGCCCATCATTGCTATAGATTCAAACTACAACTACTAATCTATAGTGGCAATAATAGTTTTCGGTTTAAATTAATTTGCGTTTGGTTTAATTTAATTTGCGTTTGGTTTAATTTAATTTGCGTTTGGGTTAAATTAATTTGCGTTTGGGTTAAATTGATTTGCGTTTGGTTTAAATAAATGTGCGAATTCTATATACAAGGTGGTAGCGGCAGCCCAAAAACAAAAACTACACAAACAAATTATATGCACATAGAAAATCAGTAAAAAACAGTATAAATTCGCCTTGAAATAAGCTGATCCGGTAACACCACCTTATAAAAATTCACCTTGGATTAATCTCTACACAAAATACAAAGTAGGATACTGGTAGCTATGGCTACTAGACTAGCAACTAAACACCAGTCGCCATATAATAGGGCCATAAATTGCCCAGAAATACATTTTAGTCGGATTCATTATAGAAAAACGGCCACACAAAGGTTAAATATACGTATTTATAATTCCATAGAAAGATAAGGCGTCCCCAGTAAGCAGAGGTACAAAGCTAAAAGAAGGCGATTTGAACTGTCAGAATTGTGTATATTTTGAACAAAATATTGAGTACGCGAGTGTAGGCACATTTTGCTTTTGCACCTCTCTTTACCTAGTAGCACTTTTGCTATGTTCTTACACTATACATTTTGGCATAAAAACTTTGACCGAAACTCAATGTCGAGTGACGCCATGATTCGATATATTGAGTGGTATCTAAACCTTTGGATCGTTAACGTTTAACTCATTTCACGCCTTAAACGAGGATAATTCAATAAATTGGTATACGTATTGTATTGCACTCTTTCCGGTGACCATGTAATATGCTCTACACTTGTATGGGGTATACACATACCCCTATGGTCACTGGCGTAACTGTCAATTACGTTTCGGTCACAATTTTCTCATATCGAACCACGTCTTCTTATAATTTGATACACACAAAACGGCTAGGCAACAGTTAATGGTTGCTATTTACAAGGAACTAAAAAAAAAACTCTGCAACGAACATATGCACATCAAATTCTTTTAATTTGGAAAGTTCTGACCGTTTTGTATGTGTAGCTATTTGAAGAGCTTAGTTTCATATGTAATTTTCACCTTAGAATTTACATCAAAAGGATTTTATTTACACAAAGTTTGCTTGTAACTGTTGAGAATTGCATTTCAAAAGCCGTGGAAACAAATTAGCCACGGATAGTGGGCGAAACGCATAAAAACTGCACTAAGCGTATCATAAAATGAGAATTCTGCTTATAGATGTTGCGAAGCAGCGCAATGTATTCGACCTAAAACTTTGTATAAATATATTCCTTTATTCGGGCCACTCTCGCATCAGAGACCCAGAGTTCATTTTACCGTTCAAGTTCCAGTCCAGCAACAAACAGCGCGAAAAAGAAAGATACTATGAAGGAGGAGTACCCGGACGCGTACCCGCACCATAAGAAAAGTGAAGTAGAGTGAAGTCGAATGTCCTGTTCACAAAACTGAAATACCAATCTCAATGGCATGTATATTCCGTGGAGAGCTGAAAACATCAACAAATACGTTTTAGTTTGTTCATATCCTCCTGTTTTTAAACAATTCGTATGCGGATATGCATTACTCCACCAAAATACGATTTTGCATTCACTTTTTCCATACAAATTGCCTTTGCTTTGTTTGCTAATCATAACATCCGTATTTATATCTTTTAAAATCAACGATTGTTATTCATGTAGCATAATATATGTCTATCCGTTATATCCATTCAATGCCGCACTTTTGTATATTATAAGTTTAAAGATATTCAAGAGCTTTGGTAATTTCCATCTATGTATACAATTTATCAATTTGCTTCAAATCATTTCATCGATTATTCAGAACACAGCGTAGAAAACCAGTGTTTTCATTTAAGCTATTTCTTTGGAAAAAGTTGCCTCCCAGATTTTCTGATTTCACACCAAAACTAGTACTTATTCTCAGTTAAGTTTAGGGTATTTAATCAGAAAACACTACATGCTTTTGTCATAAGCATTATTTCCCAAATTTTAATATTTAGAGGGAGACGAATCAAGCAATTTAAATGACCTTGTCACATCATATAACTTTTTTAGTTAATATATTACCGACTAGTCCTTTAAAAGGTCATTCAAACTTGAAAAATTCATATCCACAATAAAAATATGCTTAATTTGATTACAAAAACTTTATCGAAAATTTGCACTTACCTGCTACTTCCTTTAATTTAGCTGGCAACTCAGCAGCCACACGTTTTAGTAGTCCAACAGTTGGCTTTTCAGAACATAAAACCACCAATTCTACGGAATTATCGCCCTGCAATAAAAGGCCTTTGGCCAAAAATCCAACACGCATAACACCCTTCAGAATGCGTACATTGCCACTGTCAGCCTCTTTTTGGAATGACAACATTTGATTATCGCGCCCATCCTTTACTTGGGCACTATCTTGCTTTTCTTTTTTGTTTGCTGGTCCCTTTTCATCTGGATTTTCAGCAAATTTGTCGGAGACAAACTTCAGTGCACGTTCAGTGTGCGATACAATACGTTGAATAGTTTGCAACTCTTCCTCTTTAGGATAGATCTCAGCATGGCGTGCAATAGCATGACGATCATCAGTACTCTCAGGACGGCGTATATTTCCGCCACCACCAGGCATCATACCAAAGAATGGTGGTGGACCATTACCCATGCGACCGCCAAAGCCACGCTGAGCACCTTAAATACAAATATGTAAAAAAAATCTTAATAAAGAAATTTCACTGATGTTTGGAAAGCAATACTAACCTGCAAAGCTGCGTGCCAACCAATTACTGTAATCGTACTCGTCATCGTACTGTGCCCGACGACGCTGTTCATCCCAATACATTCCACCGCCGCTTTCATGATCATCGCCGAAACTTACATTACCACCGCGATGTGATTGAATTAGAGCGCGCTGAGCACGCGCTTCTGCCAGACGCCTTTGACGTGGTGTCGGTTTAAAATCGACAACTAAGTCTGGTTGAACTTTTCGTTTGTATTGTAAACGGTGTCGACGCCCCTTCATGTGCATTTCTTTTGCATTAGGATCATTGAATTTGCAATCACATAGCTTACAATTAAAGCTCAAAATCTTGCCCTCATCATCTTTTATTTCCTCAATATACTCGCCTCCAACTGGTTTAATATTATCAGTGTTTTCTTCACCAGCAGCAACATCATCATGGTTATCTGAAAAATTTGTAAGTCATATAATTCTAACTTAAACAAATATAACATATTTTGTACCATTATCTGCAGCGCTTGTATTTTCTCCTTCTGTGGGTTTTGCTTTCTCAGTGGTTCCACTGGCGGGCACGAAATTTATTTTAGATAACTTCTTTGGCTCATCGGGTGGTATTGGTTTACCAAGTTTTTGGTGGAGTTTAACGACCTTCTGATGCTTTGCGCCGCGTACATGAGCAGCATAAGCATCTGTTCCGGTGCATGTTACATCACACAGTTCGCAGTGGTAGTTGTTACCGCGATTTTGAGCAGCAGATTGAGCCGAAGCTTGCATTTTCAAGGATGCCTCCCTCTTCTTGTGCTTTTGGCCTTCCAAATGTTCACGATAAGTTTGTGGGCCTGCACATGAAATTTTGCATACTTCGCAGTAGTGTAACTGCTGCGGACGCGGTGGAGGCTTAGTACGTGGGCGAGCTGCATTTGCACCGCCAGCTGCAGCACCTTTCTGGGCGCGATACTGCCAGCCAGGGGTTGAAGCCCCATTGGTATTCGGCTTAACAGTGCCGGTTTGATGTTGCTGTTGAGCAACATACATTGAAGCGGCACTATACAGTGCAGACTCATAATTACTGTAAGCATTAACAGCGCCAGTAGTAGTAGCGGCTGGAGCTGCTGCTACTTTAACTGCTTTATCTTTCGCTCCGGCAGCTTTTGCCCCGGCATTTACATTTTTAACAGGGGGAGCCGAATAATGAGTCTTACTAACCGTAGCCGCTGGTGCAGTGTTGTAGCTAGCTGGCGCTTGTTGATAAAACGTTTTTGAGGCGTCATATGCAGGCATAGAACGACTGTAATCGCCGTAGCCTGCATAGCCGCTAGCTCCAGAAGCGCCTGCAGCTGCATAACCACTTTGACCAGCAGCTGCAGCAGTTTGGTAAGCTGCAGCATTTGCGTACGTTGCGTTGGTTACGGCAGGATAAGCCACCTGCCCTGGGTTATAGCCCGTACCGGTGGAAGTATACTGGGTACCACCATAACTGAATCCAGCGTAATTATTATTAGCCATTATAAGCAATTCTCCCCTATCAAGATGACCTAGTAAATATACATTAAGAAAAATCAATAAATGTGACTAGGGCAATGGTGTATGTATGTATACGAAAAATAATCATGAGCTTACCTGCAATTCGATATTTATATCAATATCAGAGACAAAGTGTGAAATTTTTTCAACCTTGCAGCGAATATAGAAACGCCGTGTGAAATAAAATTTTTCGGTATGCACAAAGCTGAATTGCGTTTTCTGAAAGTAGAAAAATCTTTAATCGACGCGTCACTTTCCGAAGAACTCTAACCCCCACAACGACACATTTTTTCCTCCATTTTATAATTTACCTAAACTAATTATAAATACTTATATACAAGAAAAAACATATCACTACTCAATAAACGTAAATACTAGAACAATTTGAAAACATATTTTTAGATTTCTACTGAATTACCAGCAATTTTCAACAAATTTTCCAGAAGAAACCCCGCACAAATCGTGAAAAATGGTCGGAAGTGTACAAAGAAAAATTATCGATTGGAGCGTGTAGAAATGCCGCATATTAATCGATAAAAATGTGCTTTTCATCAGTGTTGCATTTCAAATAAAACGAAAGGTTAAAAAGCGCAATACACTACACAAGAAATGAGTGAGATAGACGAGGACAAGAAGGCAAAAACATGCCCTTTTACCCATGATACAAACAAGAAGGTAGTTCCATTTAATGACATTCGTTGTTGTTGCTAACCATTTGACTTTTAATAAAATTATGACATTTCATCAAATTCATGATACCTGATCACTAAAAGAAATATATTTTTTTAAAGCAGAAGATTTTATCAGTACATTCAAAGATGTGGAATATGATGGACTTGAAAATTATGCCGGCTACATAATTTCAAAAATTATACTTACATATCGTCGTTTAAAGTACAAAACCGCGTATCGTCGTTCTGCAAATCCGCGTAACTGACATTTTTTGCCAAAGATTGGATTTGCTCACACAAGCTCTTGGCTCAAGTTTTATCCATTCGTCCTGAAATATACTAGCCAGAAATGCGATTGCTTTATAAAAAAGAGAACAATTTTGAAATATGAGGGTTTTTACTCTCTGGAAAATAATTTATGCAACCTCGCATACGCAGTTTTGCATTTTGTTGATACGTGGTTTTCAAGTTTTCTGTTCAGCCGACTTCAGGTTTTTTGCATACATTAGAAACGTTAAGATCAAAATTGTTGAAAGCTAATTGTTTGCAAAATCTTATGAGAAATATAAAAGTATATGTGAACCAAAATATAAAAAGGTTTTATTTGGGAAGAACATTCGTTAGAATTAGATTTTTAGATCGCAAGATTGCATTCAAAATAAGAAAACGAAAAAATAACAGCATAATGCGCGCGTGGTTTTTATTATAAAATAAAAAGAACAATTACGATGAAGTCTTCTTTAATAGTCTATATTTTATATATTTTTAATGAAAATAGTGCGAGTTACGTAAGTAAAAAAATACCAAGCACTGATAATGGTTTTTGATTTTAAATATTATTACATTGGTATAAATATGGGAAGGAAAATACTCCGATTTATTGTTTTAATATTATCAAAGTGGCAAGGCCGATGATAATACTCACAATTTATGAAACTTCCAAAAATTTTATTATCCGTCAAAAGTTGTTTATTGAAACTACCTTCTTTTTTGTATCATGATTTTACCATGAACGAAAGACACAAGATCACGTAAGAACAAGAGAGGGAAAAAAGTCGATTTTTTTTTAGCGGGTTCTACGCTATCTTGTTTCACTGGAAAACGAGCGAAAAGTAAACAAAGCAAAGAAAACAACGAAAACCAAAATTGGCCAAAATTATTGTCAGCCACTTTAAACGCATAATTTAGGTAAAATGATGCAACAAAATGCTTTAAAATGTGTTGTCATGTTGAATTAACTCTTCTTTACTTGAATAAAAGTGTAAAATAGTGGTGCTTGTGATGTAAACAAACGCTCAGCTGACGAACCCGCTTTCGCAAACTTTTTTCTCAAAACCAGTTACAAATACAACGTCGCGTTCTTACGTGATCTTGTACTTTTGGTTCATGGCCCTTTTACAGCCCTGCCGGCCACTGCTCACCACTTTCCCCTAAAATTCAAACGATTTACTAACACATTCTCAACTTTTTAGTCATTTCACCACACACACTCACAAATTTTATGTATGTAAAAATATATTTATTAATGTTAATTACAAGTTTTATTCATAATATTGGTTATTAAGTAAGTATATTATGCATTTTGAAAATAAATTTTGCAAAATAAAAATCAAAATATTTTAGGATTTTTTATTTAAAGTCTCCAAGGTTATTTTGAATTCGCTGTGAAGAAAATGCAATCCTGGGTCGGCAGAAGGGGGCAATGCTAGACGAGTGCAGCTATATGTTATCCTTACGAAGTATCTGAATGAGTGCGACAGTGATGCAAGGCTCACACGTACAAGGGCAAAGTGGTGACAATCTGCACACCGCCCATACAAATGTCACCAGTTTTGTCACCAGTTTTGAAGTGACCGAAACCCGCGGTTTCACCAGATTTTTCACCACTTCTGGCTGGCAGGGAGGGTCGAGTGTAAGTCCCCTTTCAGACACGTCAAGTCTTACTTTCAAGTCTGCTCGTTCGTTGGTGAAGGAGGTGGGAAGAGAGGGGAAGAGTACAGATACCTCCGTACCGTCAATTCGTTTCAAGTTTTCTTGTTCTCTTTTGATCTTTTCGTTGCTTCCCGTTTAAATAACCAAGTAGTTGAATTCAATAAAACTTGATGCGTGTGGATGCAAAGAGAAAACACAAAAGAGATTGCGATAAAAATTACTTTCAAGGCTTGACGTGTCTGAAAGGGGACTAACATCAAACACGTTGGCCCGTAGTTATAGTCGAAAGTTAAAACCTCTTCTAGTCAAAATTAATCTTTAAGTTTAGTGTAGGTTTAAGTTTTAGTCAGTTATAGACATGTTAGAGGCAGGTTTTTGCTAGATTGACACAAAACAGGGCCATTAATATAAAATGAAAAATGTAACCAATCGGCATTAGGAAAACTTTGTTATTTTAGCAAGTTCACCCTGTGTCAACTGACTTTTATAAATAATTTTGAAAATGGCGTAGCAAACTGTAAGTAAATAACAAATTTTTGTAAAATATAATTTATTAACGTAAATAATTTAATTTTTATAGGAAGTGAAAAGAATTCGTGAAGTTAATTGGACTGCTGCTGGAAATACCTGCTTGCGGTCCTTGTATATTTTCTTATTTCTGGTTGCGATTGTATCATCCAAAATCGCAAAATGTCGAAATATCCTTTGATTGGGAAGCATATTCTTCAAATTAAGACCACTTTTGTATTTTCTCCGCCAATTTTGACAGGAAAATGTCTACTTAGAGTACGCTTTTAAGATTTTAAAACCTCGTCAACCTCATTTTATATTTAAAACGCCGTTTTAAAGTTAAAAGGTCTTTTAAGTTGACTATGACAGTGTTAAAAGATTGTTTATCCTAATATACAGTTTTAAATGTTAAAACCTGCCTCTAACTTGTCTATAACTACGGGCTATTGTTTTTTTCATTGAGGATGAGACGATTTTAACATATACAACACAAGGAAGTTTTACAAACTTCAACATGATGGCCAAAACAATTCGCGTTCTTGCGCGAACTAGTATTTTTGGTTCATGTATTTGCGCTGTGTATTAGCGTGCTTAAAGGCTTGACAAACCGTTGACGGAAATTTGAGAAAAAATCCAAATTTTTACACAAAGACAAGACAAAACTAACTCAGAAAGCTTACAAATAATTGCACTAAGTTGCACGGATTTCGTTCTTGTGACCTTTGCACTAAACTGCCCTGACAACTGTCAAATATTTTTCGTCTTGCACTGTTCTACACTTCAGTGCCGTTTGCACCATGTCTGGTTAATTTTGGGCTTGTATAGTAACTGCTCTAGTAAAAAATTGCAGCGAGAGCGTAAAAGCAAAATAGAGCGTAAAATTGGGAAGAAGAGAAAACTAGCAGAAAAAGTTATTGAACACAAAACTACTAAAAACTTGCAAGTGAATAGTTGTTGCACCGTTTTTGACATTATGCTGTTAAAATTTTACTATTTATAAATCAGTTTTAACTCTTTGCTTTACACACAAGCACTTACACAGTCCAGTATAACCTTTTTCTGCAAAATGAATAAAACAGAAAATATTGACATATGTTTTAGCGTTGTCATGTACTCAATAGGTCATCACAAAAACATGACAATAGTTATAGCGGCGAGTTTTGTCATTGCACGCAAATAGGGCTGTAAGAGTTAATTCAACATGCATGACAACACGTTTTAAAGCATTTTTATAAATAATTTTACCTAAATTGGGCGTTTAAAGTGGCTGACAACAATTTTGGTTATTTTTGGTTTCGTTGTTTTCTTGCTTGGTTTACTTTTCGTCCGTTTACCAGCGAAACAAGATGGCGTAAAACCCGCTCAAAAAATCGATTTTTTTTATTCTCTTTTTCTTGCTTGATCTTGTGTCGTTCGTTCATGGTTACACGTATGAAGAACTGGCAATACACTCACACTTTTTACAAACCCACTCGCACTCATACAGCTTGAACGTCAACTTGATACCAATTTTTTCTTTCAAGTCGAGAGGCAACTTGAAAATCAAGTCAAACAGCTGATCACAGCTCGTCTGTTCCCGTACTTTGGGATTTAGTCAAAAATAGCCAGAAAGATATTACTGAAAGTATTATAAACACGTGTACGGGAACGAGGCGAGGATTTTAAGATGTTGCCTTGACGACGGCACCTTGAGAGTAAAATTGACTATTAAGTTGCGTGCAGCCTGCGTCACAGCTGTCAATTCAAATGAATTTTGACAATGACTATTACTACGTTTATACGTTTATTTATTTACCATTTTTATTTCCAGAAAATACACAAATAAAAATATTTTAATGAAAATTTCCAAATCAAATGACAGTTAACGGAAGCCGTCATCAACCGCAATTGTGTTTACTCGGATGGATTTCACTGCGGTAATGGAACAGCTGTTCGCTTCCCGTTGACCGCTTAACCGTCGTCCGCTGTATTTCTGGGTAGAGATTAAATCTTTCGCAAAATCTTTCCTTCTTCACATCGTCGATTGTTGTCATTGTCCATGCGCCATGTACCACCTCGGGCATGATGAGTGTCTTATAGACTAGAGTTTTCGTAGAGGACTTTACTTCTGAAATGCCTACTCAGTCCAAAGTAGCACTTGTTGGAAAAAGTGATTCTGCGCTGGATTTCGAAGCTGACATTATTGTTAATGCTACTTTCCAAGTAAACGAAATTCTCTACTTACTGTCAGCAGTGACACAGGTGTCGAACGCGCTGGTTGTTTGTTTGATGACAGGAGATACTTCGTCTTGTCCTCGCTTACCTCCAGACCAGGCTTTGAAATCGACAAATAAATGATGTTTTTCGATCCTATTATCGCGAGTCATTTTCAAGATTTGGCATACTGTGAATACCTGACC